ATATTTGTATGTACGAATAATCGTCGTACTTGATAACCCTATTCCAAAACATATGTTAAAGTCATTTGCAACAAATGAATCAAACGTAACAAGTTTTTAATAAAAATGCACTATTTCATAAATAATTTATACCTCTGTCTATTTTCAAGCTTATTACATTTTTTTATTCATATTTCTATTGCAATAAAATGTTCTTTATTAAAAATTCTTTATATGCATATACTATATAACTTATATAGATTCAATATAGACTCGTTAATCAAGGGTGCGTTGCAGAAGATAGAATAATGCAAATAGCGCCTTCTTGAACGCATCCCGAATTATGGAACCTCATGGTAGAAATATCTACTTCGATCTACTTTCGATGAAACATGGGGTTATCTTTTCTCTAGCGTAGAATCTTACATGATCACATCACATGAATCGAGATGATCTTGCAGAATTTCAATAGCAGTTATCCGACTGCTCTTGTGTACTATATCCTTGTTGTTTTTACCCAATGTTAAACAATTCGGATTGACATTGAATACAGATCAACATCAATTTAATTGATTTGATCGACGATTTAATCAAACAATCATTTCTTTCTAGTTAGGTGTATGTTTAATCCAAATAGTATAGCAGCGTTTGCAAAGCACTATAAAAAAAGTGATTATATATGATTTTTTACCGCTTTCTTAATGTATTGTGCTACTTGGAAATGGTTTACATAATTATAATAGTAGCTCGATTTTCATTAAAGGCTTACATTTCGTTCTTTTTTCTTTTTCTGATTGGGTAACCCATCCTAAGTGAAGCAGTTTTATTGTGACCACTGCTGTTTGCACTGGTATATACAAGAGATGTACAAGAGATCATAAAATTGCCGGATACCGGATATCGAATATTCAAAACATCTTCATTCTCTATGCTAACGCGTTAATATAGAAATTTTAATATAGAATAGATTTCCAATTAATTAGAGGCGTGCCAGGTGTTGCAAGCAAACCGTTTGTTAAATACGTTAAAAATATTTGCTTCCATTCTTCTCTTTATCCTCTTTATAGATTTTCAGCATGTCTTTTATATGCTAATAATCTTTTTCTTCTTATATTATATTTGTTACTTATATTTATTTTAAACAATTCTTATTTCTCATGTTTAAAGTTAACGAGCGATTTTACAATAGAAGTTAAAAAAAATCTATCTATGTTCACAAGTATATTCTGAAAATCCGTTCATTATATAATATTTTGCAAAGATGTTCCAATTTAATGAACTTGAAAATAAACGAAGGTAATTATTTATGAAATAATTAGTGTATTTTTATTAAGAACTTGTTACGTTTGACTAATTTGTTGCACTTTAACATGTTTTGGAACAGAATTATCAAGTATGATGATTATTCGTATATTACGTATAGAGCGTTTTTTAAATATTTATATACCGGTATAATCGATGAATTGTCTATGGAAAACATATTAGGTGAGTTTTAATTAAATACATTGATACCATCTTCAATTCATAATTAAAACGAATGTTTCGTTGCAGAGCTCTTGCAGTTGTCTAACAAATACTGCATGTCGCAATTTGAGAGAGATTGTATTCGAATTATAAAAAAAAAGAACGATATTTGACGTATACTATATTAAAGCAATAGCAAGACAGTATGACATGAAGGTACCATTTTTCTCCCTTTTATGTTTCTTTTACGTTTTTTTATTCATATTTTTGTCGCGATAAAATGTTCTTCATTGAAAATTCTTTATATCATGTATGAATTAAATTGCAAAACTGTAAATCAAATTATTAATCTATTTAGCTAGTTTTAATTTAAATGTTAAAATTTATTAAATATAAAAATGTATCTTTATTCTGTGTAGGTAACTTAATTATATATATATAT